CCAGGCACTTGGCCAGACTCCAACTTATTACTTATGCACAAAACACAATGATTGCCCTGCTCCCAAGGATATGATAGCTAGCACAGTAAAAGTATGATTCTAATAAAGCAGAGAGGGTCAAATGAATGACCTCGTGGGTTCCAGGAGCAGAAGGGAGGTATCCACCTCAGCCCTGCACAGCAGGGCTGGTGCACAGGGGAGATGTCAGAAGAGCGCTTCCTAGAGATGACTCATGCGCTCAATACTAAAGGAGGGCCAAAGTTGGCTGGGCAAAGCAGAGGTAGAAAGAAAGCATCTAAGCAAAAGGAACACTATGCACAAAAGTACAGACAGGAGAAAACTCCCCTCCAAGAGAAAAAAAATCACTGAGCACGGTAGGCATGGTGCTACAAGGTGGTGTTCAATCTGACAGGTCTCTCTGCTCTCATGAAATTAAGGGCAAATCCACGTTCATCAATCTGCAAGGGCTTGAAAACTAGAAAGCAAGAGGGACCTTGAATGCATCAGGCCTGGTGAGACAGCACTTCACAGTCATAGACGGTCCCCATCACAGACTTTTGTAATCATGAACTTCATCATCATTGACATTCACCATCATGAACAGTCACCATCACCGGCATTAACAATCATGAAAAGCTCACCATCATGGACAGCCACCATCACCGATGTTCACAATCATGGACAGTCACCATCATAGATGCTCACCGTCCTGGATGTTCACCATCATGGAAGTTCACAATCATGGACATTTACCATCATGAAAGTTCATCATGGTGAACATTTACCATCATGGAATTTTACCATTAGGACATTCACAACTATGGATGCTTATCACCATGGACAGTCACCATTATGGATGCTTACCATCAAAGATGTTCAGAATTATGGATCTTCACCATCATGGAAATTCACAATCGTGGCCATTCACAATCATGGAAGTTCACCACCATGGACATTCACTATCGGGAAATTTCATCATCATGGACACTTACCATCACAGACATTCACCACCATGGATGTTCACCATCATGGACATTCACCATACCAGACGTTCACCATCACAAAAGTTCATCATCACGGATATTTACCACCATGGACATTCACTGTCATGGACGATCACAATCATAGATGCTCACCATCATGAACACTCACAATCATGGAAGCTGCCAATCATGAAAGCTCATAATCATGAACGCTTCCATCATGGTCACTCACCATCATGGAAGTTCACCATCGTGAAAACTCACAATCATGGATGCTCACCATCATGAATGCTCACCACCATGGACATTCACCATTATGGACACTCACCATCATGGATATTCATCATCATGGACATTCACTATCATGAAAGTTCACCATCCATGGACATCTACCATCACGGATTTTCACAATCATGGACAGTCACCATCATGGACATTCACCATCATGAAAGTTCATCATCATGGACATTCACCATCATGGATGCTCACCATCATGAATGCTCACCATCATGGAAGTTCCCAATCATGGCCATTCACAATCACGGACATTCACTACCATGGACGTTCACCATCATGAAAGTTCATCATCAGGGACGTTCACCATCATGGACGTTCACCATCATGGATGCTCACCATCATGAATGCTCACCATCATGGAAGTTCCCAATCAAGGAAGTTCACAATCATGGCCATTCACAATCATGGACATTCATTACCATGGGCGTTCACTATCATGGACATTCACCATCATAAACGTTCATCATCATGGACGTTCACCATCATGGATGTTCAAATTATGGATGCTCACCATCATGGACACTCACAATCATGGACATTCACCATCATGGACGTTCACCATCACAAATGTTCACCATCATGGACACTGACAATAATGGAAGTTCCCAATTATGAAAGTTTATAATCATGACATTCACCATCATGGTAAGTCCTCTGGTCCATGCTGGCAAGACTCGTTTTCCCACAGCAGAGTCAGTGTTCACTGGAAAGCCTGCAGCAGGGGCCACACATAATCGGAGGAAGACAAGCACTGGAGATAGGAACATCAGCTGCAAGCGTACAGTAATGACGTCACAGGAAATGGCAAGGCCTGTACTGTAACCATAGAATAAGACAGAGGGACTGATACAGAAAATGTGTTCAACGGAACTGGAAGCTGTGGGGAAGAAAGATGACAGACAGGACTCCCTCTTGAGCAACCTCATGGACAGCGGTGTTATTCTCAGTGGGATCACTCATAAGGAGACATGGATGTGGGCGAGGATGAGAACTAAAGTTGTGAAATGTTGATGCTGAAATACAAAAGTCCAAGTACAAAATGGTAATAGCAGTTGCTATTTACCAGTTTTTGTGATGTGCCCAACATTGCAAGAAACTAGGAATACTATGCACAGCATAATCCTGCCATGAGTTAAATAGTACCATGAGGCTTTCTAACATCTAGCCCTGCTGTGAGAAAACAACTTTGCGTAAAACTCAATTGGAAAGTTGTGCTCCATGCTCCATTCACTGCTTTTTCTCATTTCATTAATCCTGCAATAAAGCGATCATGCATTCCATGTCATCAATCCTGGAGGCCTCCCATAAGCCCTTAGAAAGCTGTTACTGTATTTCCATGCTACTGATGAGGAAACAGAGCTGGGGGAGGGGGAGAAGTAATCTGTTCAATGTCACACAATAAACAGAGGAGTGAAGGCTGAGCCCAGAGTATAAGACCACCACGTGTGGGTGTTAATCTCTACTACATTGCCCATCTGACTGGGGTGGCGATGGAAGATATGGACGGAGGTCACTAGCATGCAGGGAGTGGACAAATACGTGCAAAGAAAGTAAGAAACAAAATGAGGGAGCTGAGGAAGGGGCCCCAAACTAACCCATATTTAGGGGTGAACTGAGGATCAGGGATCTACAGAGAACCCTGAGAAGCAGGTGAAGAAGCAGGAGGAGGTCAAACAGGGGCGTAAAGCTGGGGCTTCTGAGAGTGCAGCAGAGCTCAGGGATATCAGGCAGAGAAACACAACAGTCCACTGGACCTCAAAACACAAACGTCAATCACAGGGGACATCGGCCAGACAGTCTTAGTGGAGACAGCGGAAGCCAAAGTTTGTTGGCAGTGATGATAAGTAAGAAGAGTACAGACAGTAAGACTCCTCTTTCTATAAGCTGGACCATGACAGAATGCAAGAAAGGAAACCAAAGTCAAAGCCTGTTTTGTTTTCCCTAAAATGGGAAATAACAACATGGTTAATGGCTGATGAAAAGGCACAGCAGGAGTAAACTCTGGAAACTTAGCATTGGCCTAAGGATTTTAAAGACCATGAGTAAAAGGATCATATAATAAGACAGATTACACTTGAAAGAGTCAGAGAATGCCTGCTGCAAAGAAAACCTGGTGCATTTCACTTACGTGCTATCAGGACAAGCCAGAAGGAGTTACTGGTCACTGGAAACAGAAGCACGCAGTGCTCTGTGCCAGCACAACAGTGAAGCGACCATCATATACAGTAAAGGCCGTCAACTGTTGCTGTTGATGACATTTCCTGCTGCATCCACCACACTCACCAGCACCCCCACATGCCCCACGCCAACAGGAGGTGGGACAATCGTGCAATGGGTAGATGGAGAAAGATCATCTACACTGCTCTGGGGGCCACCCTGCACATGCCCCACATCTGACAGGGGTGGGCCCATGGGGAAGCCCACGCCCTCCATACTGCCCACAACAATGGGTGAGCTAGTCCATTTCATTCTGGAACTCGACAGACACCTACTGCTGGCCCAGAGCCAGCATCTTCCACATAATTACCAGCAGGGGTAGCAACCTGACATCCATCTACTCAACTCCTCTGCTCACCTCTCAGGCCTCAGGAGGAGAAAGCAGGGGTCATTTACAGATCCCCCAAGTTTCTGAATCACCAGCTCCCAGAGCATTAAAACTAGTAAGGCCAATAAAGCTGTCTCAAAAACCAAGTTTTGCCTGGAACAAATAGTATAAAGACAATCAGAGACTCCCAGGAGGCAGTTACCCATCACCATATGAGCAGTTAAGAAAAATCTTAAAGGCTAGAGGTTGGAGTTATTAAATAACCACGAAAATGGCACCCTAATGCTCAAATCTAAAGAAGAGCGGCCATAAAGACATTTGCTGGGAGTGACAATGAAAATACCAGACAAACCAGATGAACAGGACCCCTATGCGCTCCCTCAGATGCCAGACGGCTGCTGGCACAGCTTGGAATGTAACAGTCATAGCAGGCTGGAACATATCTAGCGTAACCATCTGCAGAAAGCTCAGAGACCAAACACATGTTCACCCTATGACTCCAAAATCACAGCCTAAATCCACTGTCAGTGAGAAACGAAAAGACATATCAAGTGGTAAAATTCAACTTTGAAAGATGCGAAGCTGTTCAAGTTAACTTATCAATTTAACTCATCCCTAAGAATAAAAAGGACATTATGAGACGTCCGTCACTCTCCCAAGACCCCATGGCGCCCTTTCCTGCCACTGCTGCAGAGTCCAGATCATCCCCCACAATCCCCTGCAGCCGACCTCATCCAACAGTCACCCAGCAAGAGATCACACACAACCATGGAGGGTGGTGGTATGGGGCAGCCAAGACCGGGCTCCAGACCTGACCTGCACAGTGTCACTAACAGTGGCTGTCCTCATGACCACACGGGTTGCGAGGGAGGAGGATGGGAATCCAAAGGAGAGAAACAGGGAAGCACAGGCCACTGCATGGCTCCATCAGACGTGAGATGCTACTGTGAGCACACACCATCATGCCAGGGCACACACACTGAGCACAGGACCTCCAGGTGCTCTCTAAGATGCCGGACAGCTGCCAACATGGCTTGGTATGTAACAACAGTATCAGGCTGAACTTCGTGAAATTGTTAACTTCCAGGTCTAAAATGGGTAACCCTGAAAAGAAACTTATTAAAATGGTTTATCTTTTAGAAAGAGGTTTACTTTTAAAATGCTAAACAACATACCTCGGGTTTGGGCGGCTTCCATTAAAGCAGCCAGAAGGTGAGGCTTCAAGTTATCCAGAAGAAATCTTCCTTCAAGACCAGGGAAAAGAGACCTAAAAAGTGAAGGGGACATAGCAATGATCATCATCTTCTGGCAATTCTAAGATTTAAAAAAATCAACCATATATTTTCAAGCCAGTTAAACCTACTCTTTTATTTTACATAAATTATAATGTACATATCAAGTCAAATTACAGTAATTTCTGATCAAATATCACCCAGGCTTTGCTTTAAACCCGAGGGCATCATGCACCATATCCAAATTCAGAAATATTCTAACTATTAATTCTAAAAATTAACCTTATTTTTTCAAATGTCAATACACACCCTCAGTTTTAAAGAATTATTCAACAGCCTGTCATTCTAGCACTTCGGGAGCCTGAGGCAAGAAGACTGCTTGAGCCCGGGAGTTTAAGACCAGCCTGGGCAACACAGTGAGACCTCATCTCTACAAAAAAATTTTTAAAAATTAGCCAGGCATGGTGCTAACATGCCTGTAGTCCCTGCTACTTGGGAGACTTAAGGCAGGAGGACCTCTTGAGCCCAGGAATTTGAGGCTGCAGTGAGCCATCATTGTGCCACTGCACTCCAGCCCGGGTGACAGAGTGAGACCCTGACTCAAAAACAAAATTAACACACTACTTTAATTAGCTTAAATATCATCAAAATAATTCATCGGTGAGTGATCAGGCCTAGTTATTCTTCATACTGCATAATCATTGTTTTCAGTGTTCTGTTACTGAAATTTCCAAGAAAGCTCCACGTGTGAGTCCCTTCTGCTCTAGAGGGCAAGAATCTCCTTAGCTCTCCAGCAAAGCCTCCCTGCCCAAGTCTCCCTAGTGAGAGGTCTCCACAGACACCACAGGCCGGCGGGAGCCCGAGGCTGGGCCAACAGCCTGACCAGCTACCTGGGGAGCTCCTCGGAGGCGATATAAACGACATCCTGGTCTGACACCGAGGAGGAGAAGGGAATGAAGCCACCGTTCTGCAGGGGCAGCAGCTCCAGCCCCAGCAGCTCGCTGTAGGCCTGATCGGAGAGCACAAACTCCAGCAGGTGCAACCTCTCCTGGGCGCCGCCCAAGGGTGTGCACTTCCTCAGCACCTGCCGCACCCACGTGGGCGTCACTTTCTGCACTGGGGTGGCCCCCGTGGCGGCCACACGCTGAACAGCAGCTGCCACGTTCGCTGGGACCTTGGCCACTTGCTTCCCAGCGCTCTGGAGGTAGCCGAGGACGGTCTGCGTGCACTCCAGGCTGTCCTCAAGCTCTGAGAAGGCCACCTGCTCCAGCCGCACCCAGGCACAGCTGATGGAGTGGATGACTGCATGCTGGAGCAGCTCGCAGAACAGTGGCTCCAGCACTGGCCGCCAGTGCGCCCGCACCCCACTGGCCTCTGGCCATAGCCGGTACACGGCCTCCACCGACAGCGGGAGTGCCGAGCTCGTGGCTGCCTCCAGTCGCATGATGCAGTCCAAGACCAGGGTCGCGTAGGCTTTGGGGACCACCGTCACAACCAGGACCTCATTCCACAGGGCCGCCGGGTCCCTCCACTGGTCCAGCTCCCGCCACTTGATGCTCCTGCGGTTATCCGTGAGGCCAAAGAAGCCACTGATGTGGACCGGGAGGCCTGTTCTGCTCTCCTCCCCGGGCGGTAGAGGGAGAAAACAGAACGCTTTTCCTGAGAAGTCAGAGGTTGCCCCCTGTGCGTCACCATCGCAACCTGATAACGCCATGGCTATCCCAATGATGGGGACGAACTTCAGCTCGTCAGCCAAGGTGTCCAGCTGGGCGCTGACGCCCCGCCCACCCACGCTGTTGCACACCAGCCAGGACGTCTTCTGCACATCCTTGGTGCTGGCGTCTTCCAAGACAATATTGACATGGTATGTGACACAAGTGATGCTGTTGCTTGGAATCTTTTTACAGTAGTCACCAATGGCAGTTCCCAGGACCTTCACAGAGTCCAGCCGCTCGTGTTTCAGGGCCTCATTCTCACTGGAAGTCACTCTAAAGACAAGCTTCTCCGTTCCGTCAGCTTCTCGGACGTACAAGGACACACCCTGTACACTCTTGAGAAAGAGCAGCACGGTGTCTGCATCTGCCCTGAAAGATTCAAACAGCTCGAGCACCTTCTGTTTATTGTAGAGGTTGCCACTGAGCTGCGAAGGCTGCAGGCGGAGGGGGAAGCGGAAGAATGTTCCTGGAAAATTGCCCTTCACAAACGTTTCCTTGGTGCTTCCAAAAATACCAACAAATGGTGCGAACTGATCCGGAAGCTCACTGATTTCCTTGCTGTCATCCTTGAGATTCCAACACTGGCCTGATTCATGTGGGCCAAAAAGCGTCTGATGAGGATCTAACATCCCAATCTGGTCACCACTAAAGATACAAGGAACATCTGGAGGAAACACATAAGTTATGATCAACTCTGAAATTTAATGAACCATTATAGCTAACAATTATAATCACCACCAAATATTACACGGAAAAGCATGAGCCATAAAATGACTCAAAGTCAGATTTACCTACAAACAAACTTAATTCACCTATGGAAATGGAATTCTCTGAACATGAAAAATAATGGTCTCCCTTTTGATTCAATCCAATCACAAGTGCCAGGCACAAGTTTCCATGATTCTTGGGGCAAATCTTCAATGATTGAGTAAACAAAAGAGGTGGCCAGTGTTCGGATACTCACACCCAGCCCCACAGCCATGTGAACCAAACTCCAAGAACAGGGCTGCATCCTATGCTCCACATTAAAGCTCATTCACAGATGCCAAGAAAGAGGGGCGAGAAGGACAAGCAGGTGACCCTACCTCTGTGCCAGCACAGGAAGGGAGAGGCCATGGGTCAGCCTTGGTCCCCGCCTCTGGAGTGGAAGTGCCTTTCACCACGCTATGCTAATTATAGGATCCAAGATGTACATTTCTTGCATGAACTGATGCCGACTGCTCCATCTGTTCCTCAGTCAGACAGGACTGCTATTTAGCACTGGCAGAAGAACCAGATGTGTTGGACTCACTGTCCTGAGAGCAGTTTCTTACCAGGGCGCTTCTCTGAGGACCCCCAGGGGTGATCTGACATACGTCTTGACTAGTACGTCCTGCTGACTTGAGCACCTAAACTTCCTGCCAGATGCAACTCCACTGAAGTCCACCTTTGGCAGCTATAGTCATCAACCACAAGGTCGGCTGTTACCATCGCTAACTCCTAAGCTCACAAGTACTTTAAGTAGCAAATTTACATGAAGCAACTCCCTGCTAAATCCACTGACAGTACCATCTAGGGCAGGGGTCCCCAACCACCAGACCACAGACTGATATCAGTCCAGGGCCTGTTAGGAACTGGCCACACAACTGAAGGTGAGTGAGCGAAGCTTCTTCTGTATTCACAGCTGCTGCTCCCATTGTTCACATTACCTCCTGAGTCCGCCTCCTGTCAGATCAGCACTGACAAGCCTGCTTCCATGTCTAAAATCCTATCTTTGTGAAGCAAGGTCTTCTGCAGTGACAGCAACCAAAACGAGATTATGGAGTAGACTGGACATAAGCAACACACTTCGGGTGTCACTGTCTCCCATCATCCCAGATGGAACCATCTAGTTGCAAGAAAACAAGCTCAGGGCTCCCACTGATTCTGCATTATGATAAGTTGTATAATTATTTCATCATATACTAGAATGTTATAATAACAGAAATAAAGTGTACAAAAAAGGCAATGTGCTTGAATCATCCCGAAACCATTCCACCCACTCCGGTCCGTGGAAATACTGTCTTCCATGAAACCAGTCCCTGATGCCAAAAAGGGTGGGGACCGCTGGTCTAGGGCACGCAAGCCCCTGTTTCGTGACACAGGGCCACATCCCCATGACTGAGATCAGAGCAGGGGACTCCTACCATGGTGAAAGCATGACCAACCTTTCTCCAACCCTCAGGTTAGAGAAGAGCCATTCTGTTAATGCCCCACATCAATGTGCTTCTCCCAACCAGGAAGCAAAACCACACTGAGAAGCCAGGTCAGTCCTGTAGAGAGCCCCCATGCATGTTCTGTGCCTATAACATCTATAGACCATGACGTGGCATGGACCTGAGTGGCAACTTGCAAACAGGGGATGTGAGAATATCATTCATGGGAAATAGTTACAATATTTACACATAGAACTTAATAAAGTTTTCACTGTATGATATATAATTGATCAATATTCTTTAATATTATATAGTATGCTGGCATTGGTGCAAATGCAATATGCTTACTAAAATATGGCTTCAGGCTGGGCTCAGTGGCTCAACCTGCAATCCCAGCACTTTGGGAGGCCAAGGTGAGTGGACTGCCTGAGCCCACGGGTTTGAGACCAGCCTGGGCAACTTGGTGAAACCTCATCTCTACAATAAAATAAAAAAAAATTAGCTGGACGTGGTAGCATGTGCCTGTAGTCCTAGATACTTGGAAGCCTGAGGTGAGATGAAAGGATTGCCAGAGTCCAGCAAGTTGATGCTGGAGTGGCCGTGAGTGTACCACTGCACTCCAGCCTGGGCGATGAAGTGAGACTCCAACTCCAAAAAAATAATTTTTTTTTAAAAAGTGGCTACAGCTAGGATGACCCCACTTCCCACTTGCCAGGGCAGCCCCAACACAGGCCTGCTGTCTGAGAACAGCTACAGGTAACACACCCTCCCCTCTCATGGGTCCCAGTCCTAAGGATCAAGTACACGGCCATCCTAGCCAGAGCTAGGTCAGTCTCCTGCTCCTGCAAGATAGTTTAAATTGAACATAAGAAAGACAATTCCATTAAAGGATTTTTATCACAAAACTCTTGTAAGTACTAAGAGCTTTGATTCTGGGAGAATGGCCATAAACTCTGAGTGATGTCCACACTAACAGTTTCAAGTATTTCTTGTGGTAACCGTGAACCAGAAGTCACATACCCTTTCAAGATTAAAAACATGATGTCAAAGGAATCTTTAAAATACTCCTAAGTCTAAGAATAATAATGTTTATGAGAGAGAAAATTGCAGAGATGCCAGAACTACTTTTTTCTCAGTTATGCAGTACCATTAGACATTATACTTTCCTCTTTAACCTTCTGATATTTAGAAATATGTACAAGGAAATCTGTGATAATCAGTTTGTTTGACCAAAGATTTGTGGTATGAAATTCTTCAGAGTAACATTTCCGCGTATTTCAAAGGCTACATTTCAAATCTCACACCAAATGACTTTATATTACACTTACTCCACTGGATCTGGATGATTTAACTTCTGGCATCACATGATGAAGTAAAACTAGGGTACAGTTACTATGGTAATTTCAGAAAACCTAAGACATGCTGATATTTCACTGACACGTCTCTTGCCACTGACAGAAGAATTTGGGAATGATGCCTTTGAAACAGTATCACTGTGAAGTTAACCAAATGAATTACAGTATAGAGGATAACATCATTTCTAGTGTCAAGGTTGAGAAGCCAAGTCCTATACCTGTTATATGGTAGACAGAGTTAAAGCCAATTCCAAATCTTCCGACCTTCAAGGGGTCATCCTTTTTCCTGCTTCTCGCTATTTCCTGGATGCCGTGCCAGTCCTCTGGGGTGAAAACCGCGTTGTTGTACACGTAGAGCGCTGGCCCTGGGAGGGACACACATAAGCGGGGTTCAGAAAGATGGACGCAGCATGGTCAGTCTCACTCAAGAGCTTCCTCTGCACAAAACCTCTCATTGGAAGGGAAAATGGAGAGGCATGAACAGAACGGATGAATTCTGCATCATAATTCCAACCGTTTTCACAATAAAAATAAAAACACACTGATGATACAAATTATCAGCAGAAGAAATAAAGTACTACAGCCAACAATCCAAAAAGGGAAAATTAAGGGTTACTTAGATACCCAAAATGTAGGGTAAACAAGGAAACTAATCACAGTGCACTATTTGTTCTAAATAGTATATTTAAATATTCTTTTTTGGTAAATAAAATATATTCACCAAGCAAATATATAAAATATTTCATATAGTTCATAAAATATAAAACTATGTGAGATGATAGATATGTTCATTTGTTTAATATAGTAACCATTTTACTATACATATGTATCTCATAACATGTTATGTACCTTGAATACACACAACAAAATTTATTTTAAGAAAAAAGAAACAGTGTGAATACATTGTTTCATAGGTGAAAAATAATACTTTATTAACGCTAACAATCATCTTATACGTGTCCAGTTCCTTTAAAAAGCTGTATTTATAATTCTACACACAATATTTTCAGAACTCCCCTTTTTGAGACCTATCTTCAACATCATTAGCATTCGTTGAATATATTCAACTATATTAATCCCTCATACTTTAAGATGACTTTTCTCTCAAAAAGCTGTCAAAATATAACATATACACCATCAAGTACAGAGATCTGGGGCACAGCCTGAGGAACCCTTGCAAAGCGGATCAACCTGTGTCTGCTCCACCCAAGTAAGTTAGAGGAGTGTGCCAGGCACCCTAGAAGCCTCCTCATTCTCCTGCAAATTCAAGTATGGATACGGGATATTGGCCCAGTTTCTTTTATAAATGTGACCTTACTGCTATTTTTAATAGAGTCAAGTCAGGGTATGAAAACAGGCAAGGCTGCAGAGGCTTTTTAGAAACAGTGGACAGGGGGACTCCAGAGTTGGGCGGTCTGGCCATCAACCCCATCTGTCTGTACTAGTCGAAACACCTCAGAGAAACTCAGGCCATCAAGGTTAAGCATTCCCATCTGCACAAGGATAAGAACAGCTGTGCACACCAAAGAGCACTGAGGAGCCACTGAGCAACACGAATGAGTGCCCAGCCCAGAAGCCAGCAGACTCAAACATCAAAAATGTCAGATACCACGTTCTAGTCAATATCCATATGTGGTACCATTAGTCTTTATGTAATGCAATAAAATAAAATACATAATTTCAAATAATAAATACTATAGGAATCGTGATGAAATAAATATCCTGCTACCACCCAACAGCTGGTTTAATACAGCATCCAGCAAGCAGTGCCTGGTTCCCCCTGTCCCAAATGCTCAGTAAAAATACTTACAAAGACACAGACAGAAAAACCAAAAACTCAGATCACCGAATGCTAGCACTGAGAGCAAAGCTCTGGCCAGAATCTAGAAAGAACTCACAGAACTACAAGGTCCATGGAAGGACATTAAGAAACCTGTGTAGCATTGCCAGGAATGCAGCCCACCGCAAGCCTAAGGGAAGACCCAGCTACCCACCTTCCTTCATGCTGTCAACTAGAAAGCCGGACAGCCGATGCCTGACTGCTTCTACAAAACATCTGGAAAATACAAATTATTCGGTCCTTGCTTTTTAACAAATTCAAATAAGGAAGTGATGCACATGAAAACAAAGTTCGGCTCTCCTATGGTCTCAGGAGTCTATCTATGGATTACAGCTTTCCTATTGGCTCAGGAATCTACTGGTTATTATTTGCTTACTGTCTTTCCTTTTCCTTGTTCCCTCCTCTCCTTTGATCTTTCTTCCCAGCCCACTTCCAAACAGCATCAAGGGTACCCCTAAAGCAGAAAATAATATACAAAATCATAGTTTTTTACAACCCCTTGCCAAGCACAAGCAACTGTTATGTAAACAGAAATGGTGTCCCTTTATCTTACTGATAATATAAAACACAAGTTGACTGAATAGAATAAGAGGTTTTTGTATTTACAGTGCTTGCTATTTTGTTTTGAGCTTTGCAATTTTTATTCTTCCGTTCTGGCAGAGGCATTTTCCCACCAAAAGCAGAAAAAAAAATCTGAAGAAGTAAAATCAAACATGCCAAGGAGTAAAGTACACTTGGTAATCAGACCGTTCATTAAACAAAATATTGCAAAGCATTAGAAGTCAACTGTTGGCACATAAAACTTCCTCCTAATTGTCGATTCTTACCCTGATATGGTGCCATATCTTTTGACCAAAGAGTCTCTGTTCCATACTGAGTTTCATCATATAAAAATTTAACTTCTGTGGCTCCAGCATCTTCTGCATTCTGAATTAATTCCTAACAATGGAATATTCCAAGAAAAGTATATTAATAATATAGTAAACTATTGCCCATGTTTTATTTATCTACCATATTTAAAAAGTAAACATATTTAAGTAAAGGAAATCCATGATTTGCATCATTACCTTTAAGATCTGGTGAGGTTACTCTGAGAGTAACTGTAATCCAAATACATGTAAGAGCGTGATTGAAAATCCTTCTCCAATTACACACACCTAAGATTCATCTTCCAACTTGCTATTGCTTGGTTATAGCTCTCCTATTGGCTCAGGAGTCTCTGGGTTATTGCTCTCCTATTGGCTCCGGAGTCTACAGGTTACAGCTCTTCTATTAGTTCAGGAGTCTATTGGTTATGGCTCTCCTATTGGCTCAGGAGTCTCCGGGTTACGGCTCTCCTATTGGTTCAGGAGTCTATGTTATTGCTCTCCTATTGGCTCACAAGTCTACAGGTTACAGTTCTTCTATTGGTTCAGGAGTCTATTGGTTATGGCTCTCCTATAGGCTCAGGAGTCTCTGGATTATGGCTCATCCTATTGGTTCAGGCTGCAACTCTCCTATTGGCTCAGGAGTCTACTTATTCCAGTTCTCTTATTGGCCTCTAAATACAAATCCTGGAACTATTTAAATTCTGTCTCTTCAGCCGGGCGTGGTAGCGCATGCCTGTAATTCCGGCTACTCGGAAGGCTGAGGCGGAAGGATCGCCGGAGCCCAGCAGGTCGAGGTTGCGGTGGCGGGGAGCGGCCACTGCACTCCAGTCTGGGTGACAGAGTGAGACTCCAACTCAAAAAAAAAAAAAAAAAAAAAAAAAAATTCTGTCTCTTATTCACAATCTACTCAAAGCTTTGTTCAAAAAAAATTACTCCATTTCCAAAAGCTGCACATACTGCTGGCTGTGGGAAGTATCTCATGCTTGAGCAGTTAGAAAAAAATAGACCTTTATTTATTTATCATTTGCTTACCAACTTACCTTCTCTTAGAAAACAATGATACCAAGTGGCATCACCCTATGTGTGCCCTTCCACAGGATGTTCTTGAAAGCCTGAGTCACCACCCCGCCTTTCTCCTCTACTAAGCTGTTGCTTCCTGTTACTTGTCTGGTGGTGCTGGGGGACAAGAGGGTGGT